GCGGTCAACACAACAAGTAATGTGTGTGTATTATGCATCATGTGCAGCATGGTCCATAAATCATACCTAAGACTCTTATTTATACTGGTTGTAGTGGACTTTTACCTTTCGTCGACCTAATGACGGGCCAATCACACCTTAATCTTCATTAGGGGCTTTAATGAGCTATTTATCATTTGCAATGATAGGACTGGTGGTTGGTCGGCCAGAATGATCAGCCGGCCTGAGTGGTCGGCCTGGTGGTTGGTCAGTCAGGATAGTCAGTCGTGTGGTAGGCCGGCCGGCCTGAGTGGTTGGCCGGGTGGTACGATACACAAATCATTAATTTATTCCTTTATAATTAAGTCATTAGTTTTTTTATTCAATAAACTACCGTTTTTAATTGGTAAAATGGGTAAGACGTATGTTTTATATTAGTTTAATTGATTTGGAGGTCCCTATTTGTGCAGTTTTTCGTCAATTAGGTCCCTGTATTTTGAAATAACTCAATTTGGTCCCTATTCATGAAAAATTGAAACAATACAGTCCCTGCTGTTAAATTCTGTGGATGACGTCAAAGTTATTGTTTGGTGGCTAGATGAGGTGGCATTTCATTTGAAAAGTACGTAGCACGTGTCATCCCTTCCCCACCCAAAATTAGGGTTTGCCAAATTGGGAAAAAAGAACTTGTGCCGTCAGGAAGTCTCTTCGCGAGAGAAAGAATTCTGCTGATGGAGATGAGGTAGTCACTCATGGTGTTTAGCTGGTTGCAGGTTTGGTTGTGCGATTGGGGTTTCTTCTTCATGGCGGCGTAATTCTTGGAGGGTGGTTGTTAGGTCTCTCTGTTGTTTGGTTTTCTTCTTAGGTTTTCCTCTCTTTGCAGGTGCGAGACAGAAGCTCATGGTGGTGGCCTCTTGCGGATGGCAATTCAGAGTTCGAAGTGTTTCTTCGAATTGGGTCTCTATGTGTGTGATGGTTGTTGGTCCTTTAGTTTTCTGAGTGTAGGTGGTGAGGATGGCGGCACGAAGCGTCAATGCAAGATGGCCATGGTTGCGCGTGAATGAAGAAGTGGCGCTGCTCATGGTGGTGGTCTGATGCGAGCTTGGAGGATGACGAGGTGTTGATGGCGACCTTGCGATGATGGTCTACGTGAGTGAGACTCGAAGCTTGCGCGATTTTGGGTCGTGGTGGCGGAGTGATGTGGCGACGCTGTGGTGGTTTTGCTGAAGAAGATGAAGGTGCAAGATGGTGGTTCTGCGACGGCGATTTGGGCGTTGATGATGCGTTGGAGAGGACGGCTGTCGGCGAGGATGGCGGTGACGGCGCTTTGGGCTATCATGGTAGCTGGATGAAGAAGCTTGTGTGTTGATGGTGATGAGAGTGGTAGTCGCAGCGGCTAGGGTTTTGTTTTTGCGATTCTGTGTGCACGTTGGGGTGGCTCTGCGACGGGGCGGCTTGGTGGTAGTGCGGTTTGAGTGTGGCGGCTTGGTGGTAGTACGGTTTGAGTGGCGACTCTGTCACGTGCTTTTCAAATGCCACCTCACCTCGTCACCTGGCAACAATTTTGACACCGTCTACAAAATTTAACGACAGGGATTGTATTGCTTCAATTTTTCATGGATAGGGACCAAATTGAGTTATTTCAAAGTACAGAGACCTAATTGACGCAAAACTGCACAAATAGGGACATCTAAATCAATTAAACCTATTATATTTATACATTGATGAAATATTTGGATAACTCAATAAAAAAACTCAGGTAGTCTAATAAGATGTACGGAGAACTTAAATAATTCTATAAGAAATTAAGATAGCTTTGTAAGATGTATGGAGCTTAATTGATTCGGTAGAAAGTTTATATAATTTGTTAAGATGTACTAATAATTTAAATAGTTCGATTGATAGTGTACCTAACTCGAATATTTTACTAAACTATTTAAACTTTCCACTAAATTATATATGTTCTCTGTACCACTTACCAGACTATTTAGATATTTTCTCAACTTAAAACACAGTACACTTACCTTATTAACCTTATCAGCCTGAAAACGCAACACATTAATTGATACCGAATTATCTGGCCAATTTAAGAATACAATACATATGTATTAAATAAGTTAATAACATAACACACTATCACATAAAAAATAATAATAACGTTAATCATAAATTTGTTTAGAAAGAAGACCTCAATAATAAATGTGTTAGTTAGAGAATAGACAAAAAGACAAAATCATAATTAACCGTATTATATATTTAAATCCCCTATTGTTTATCATTGAGCGTGTGTTCGCTTCTACGGATGTTACTGTAGACAGGAATTATCGAAGACGAAATTGAGTGTGACGTTGTGTTCGCTTCCACGGATTTGACACGATGGAATTGGGTGAATTTGCAGGATATGTGATTTTAGTATCACTCGCATATCTGAGATGATTTGTGCGGATTGTAAAGCAAATGTCATGTTTGCCCCTTAGTCTTACCCTCACTGGGAACCCTCCCTTCATCATCAACGTCAAAGAAAGCAAATGCGCTGGACACGTGTCTCTATCCACTGCCTCAATCTCAAACTTTTCCACCACTGAAGCTGCAATGGACTTCATCTGAACGTAAGCCATTTGGACCGGCGTGAAACACCGGAAAACGAAATGGACTCAGCGAACTCGTCGTCGTCGTCGCGAGTGTGATCCTTGGCTTCCAATCTGGACCGTACAATGGAGTCAGCGAACTCGCGGACGGTGGTGATTGAATCTCGGAGCCTCCTTTATGATCCAAAGCTGAACAAATTTTTGTTTTCCACACGAAACGTGTCAAGCTCAGGAACCTCTCTGAAATCAGCCTTGTTGCATCCTCGAACGCGCTCATAAAATCAGTAAACTTAAAAAAAAAAGCTTTAACCCTTGCGGTTAATATAGTATTTTCAAAGGTTAACATATTTTATTAAATATTAAATTAATTAATTGTTATTATTATTATTNGAACCCTCCCTTCATCATCAACGTCAAAGAAAGCAAATGCGCTGGACACGTGTCTCTATCCACTGCCTCAATCTCAAACTTTTCCACCACTGAAGCTGCAATGGACTTCATCTGAACGTAAGCCATTTGGACCGGCGTGAAACACCGGAAAACGAAATGGACTCAGCGAACTCGTCGTCGTCGTCGCGAGTGTGATCCTTGGCTTCCAATCTGGACCGTACAATGGAGTCAGCGAACTCGCGGACGGTGGTGATTGAATCTCGGAGCCTCCTTTATGATCCAAAGCTGAACAAATTTTTGTTTTCCACACGAAACGTGTCAAGCTCAGGAACCTCTCTGAAATCAGCCTTGTTGCATCCTCGAACGCGCTCATAAAATCAGTAAACTTAAAAAAAAAAGCTTTAACCCTTGCGGTTAATATAGTATTTTCAAAGGTTAACATATTTTATTAAATATTAAATTAATTAATTGTTATTATTATTATTAGTATTAATTAATTAAAAACGTAAAAAAAAACCGTAGTTAGAAATACTTGGTAGTAAATTATATTACAAACAAATACTACATTTAAAAATAAATTCATTTTACTACATTAATTTTTTTTAATTTTTAAAAATTAATTATAATTATTATTTATAATTTTAGTCTTTTTATATACATTTTTACAATTACATATAACATTAATAAATAATATTTTATATTACTTTAATACCTAGGGATATTTTGGTAATCTTTAATTTTTACCAATAAAACAAATTTTTTAAATCTATCACATTAATCAAATCATCTACCCAAATCATATCTTCCAAATCACTCTAAGAGAACAAAGTCAGAATGAGGGTAGTTTTAAAGTTATTTTAATTAAAGCATTACAATTATATATTTATACACAAATAGTTCTAATTAAATGAAAATAACAATTTACATCATGTGCGGGGACCAAGGCACGTTATGACGTGGGGCCTATGCCCAATGACTTTTCAGTTCATTTTTTATGCACATGTTATTTATAAATAACGTTTTTATTTATGAGGTAGATAATAATATTATGCGCTATTTTCATAAAAATGGTTTTTTTTAATATTGATTATAAAATACTTACATTGTTTTTATTTTTTAGTAGTAATTTTTTCTTATATCGATATATTTTCTTATCCTTTTAAACAAAATATTTGAATATCATATATTTATTTTAATATTATTTTTATCATCTATTTTAAAGACTGTAAAAATTGTACTTACAATTTTTATTAGCTTTTTTATTTTTACTTATTTGATTATAATTAAAAAAATATTTAAACTAAGTGAGCTTAATTACAAAAAATGATAAGAAACCGATGGTTTAATTTTTGAAATATTTTCTTTTCACTTCCATCACTTGTTTATTTATTTTTTTCCCCTCTTAATTTTCTTTTATTTGAGAATCCAACATAATTTTTATTTCAATTCAAACATAATATAAATAATTATCCGAAAAACAAATGAAATATTGAGTTGTACTAATAATTTATCAAACTTTAGTTTTTGGTACGTAGTCACGTTTATATTAATATTAATATTATACTGACATTTAGCTATCTGAACAATAATTTTCATCAATTATTATTTGATGAATAAGACAACTCATTCAATTAAGTACATTTTTAACTTTTCTAATAAATTCTTTTATTGCAGATACTATTCATGGATTTCTTCATGATATATGAAATCGTCATTCAATTGGATCTTTAAAAATATTAACTCCAAAGTATTTTCTATTAATATTTTAATAAGCCATTAGTATAATTATTTACATATATATATATATATATATATATATATATATTTATATATATCTAAAAATTTATTATAGTTTGTAGATATATATATACTAACTTATTGTGCTTAAAATAAACAAACGTGTAAAAGACTGAACTGAAATTCCTTTCACATCGATCTCTGAATAGCCAATGGCGTTCTGAAATATCTATATCCGATTTTGACTACTAGTCAACTTCATTATTAATTGTTTAAAACGAAATTGAGGTAAGAAAAACAAAATTAAAAAAAGAAGGGATAAGATAAATAACTAATTAGTAATGAAAATAGAAAGAGCTGAGCATATTTAGCTATCTATAAAGGGAAGGGTTTCTTTCCTTTCTTGATACGAAGCCAGCATCCCAATCAAGGTTATCTCTCTTTCTCTCTCTTCTGTGTCTCTCCCTGTGTTACTGACTCCTAAAAGTTCTCCTTCTCTTCACACTTTCTTTCTTTGTTACTAAATCTGATTGGAGCAACATTTTCTTAGTTTTTCCCCTTTCAGTACAAATCAAAAATAGTGCTACATACACTTCTCCACTAGGTTCAAGCATATCAATCAACCAGTTGAAATCAAAACCCACCAATCAAAACCTCTCAAATCTTGCATGTTCGCTAACTTCCCTTTGGCTGGTAGGTTCCTTTTTCTGTTCCCGTTATCCAGATCTGAAACTGGGTGTGCCTTTTATTAGGGTTTTTTTTTCTTGTTTTTCCAAGTTGTGTTCATCATTCCATATCCTTGTATATGTGTCATGTACAACTATTTTTGTGTTTTAAGACAAGTGTGAGAGTGTGTACTTTAAAATAGTTCTTCTAATTCAGTTTTGTGCAGCTGAAAAATGACGAGGGCGAAGATAAAGATAAAGAAAATCGACAACATAACCGCTAGGCAAGTAACATTTTCTAAGAGAAGGCGAGGGTTGTTCAAGAAAGCTGAAGAGCTTTCTGTTCTGTGTGATGCTGATGTTAGTCTCATAGTTTTCTCATCTACCGGGAAGCTCTTTGATTATAGCAGTTCCAGGTACATACGGAAATAATATTGTATTACAAAACTGTGACTTTTCTCTCAGTATTTGTATACATACATGTATGTATATACATGTATAAAGCATAATATTCTTACGTTGTTTTGATTAATACGTACATGTGTGTTTCTCTGTGTGTTTGCTCTCCTTCCTATATCCTAATTCCTGGCTAAGCTAGAGTGCCTGTAGTTTCTGTACGGAATGTGTTAGAGAGAGAGAAAGAGGGACAGTGTATTAGGTGTGATCTCATGATGGGTTTGGAACAAAAACCTCGTTTCACTCGCTTGTGTTCTCATTTTATGGGAATTCAATAGTAGTCTATTGAAGTTTCCATGAAACGTTGTGCTGATGAGAGGAACATAAAAGAAAGTGCAGCTGCATAAGTTTATAGTAATTCCTAGACTTTTGTTTGATAGGTATAGTTTGGACTATCTTTTGATGTTATAACAACTGATTAATAATAGTTTAGTTCACTGAGTGTCGAATGTTGTATTGTTGTGCAGTTGATGCACTTTTCCCAAAGAATCATGTGTGTTGGAAAGAAACTTCAGTTTCGACGGTTATTTGAAGCTATGAAAATATCTGGTTGCTTAATCTAACCCGTTCAAAGAACTCGTGTTTCTTTTCTGACCCTTTGAAAGAAGCACGAGTTTATCTTTATGTATTTTTTTTCATGTACATGTATATGAAAAATCATTCGACAAACACCAAAGAGGCAAGAAATGTTATTTCAAAATTAGTATAGTTGTGCAAGAAAAACAAATTCTCTTGATTGGTAATCTCTAACTTGTGTATCAATGTAGCACATTCTTATTATATTAACGACAACTTTACTTAATACAATTTCTGAAAAACGGAATTGGTATTCTTGTTATATGTCTCAAAGTATAAACAAACGATCAGAGATCTAAAGAACTGTAAGCCTTTGTGTATATGGTTTCTCTTTTTCTCTTGAACTTTTGCTAATGTCAGACATTGATGCTCATTTTCCGGGTACAAACAGAAATTATAGGATATAAGAGGAAAATGCTTTGTCTGAATTCGAAATGACACAATGAGTGTGCTTGGTTGGGACAAACAAACTGGTCAATAGAGTGATAAAATAATATTTGGACAAAAGGTTAAACAACAATTTTCTCCCCACTCATGAGTGAGTTTTGAGAAAATATTACAGTCAACTTTTTCATTTAGAACGATATTTTATTTACTTTAATATTTTTTGCTTATTACCTTATATATATTTTCCTTCATCACATGATTAATCTTTTTCGCTTCTCTCTCTATATATTTATCCTTATCTGTAAAAATAAAATTTGAGTAGCACACATGGTTGAATATGCATCTCCATTTGCAATCTTTGACATAGGTTTTAGGAAGCAAGTGAGGGCTACGGTTTCAGGAGAAGTGTGCCATATATGACACAGACATTTTTATGTGTTTTTTCTTCTATTGTTTTGGTTACTTGGTCCTTAATTAGAGGTCGGATTAGCCACTCTATTTTGTTCTTTTGTTAATTTAAATCAAATCAAAATATAATAAACTAAAATAATAGTAATGGAAACTATACAGTATTTAAATAAACATATAAATATAACATAAGAAACTGAATCAAACATATTATATTATATGATAAACTAAATAATAATAATAATTGAAATAACAACAAATTTCACAATTAATAGCAATTATCTCATTAGTAGTTCTGGGGCTGGTCACTTTGCATTGTGTATTACTATTGAAAAGGTTTATAACAACTATTATTTATAAATGGATTGGGATACCTTGTATAACCTTATCTAATGTTATGTGTCTTTATTGTAGATTTTACTATTCAAAATTGATAAGTATTATGTATTGCTTCCATATGTCAACTATATCTTTCCTTAACGATGAAGTTGAAATTCAAGAATTTAGAATAAAAAATATATATTCTACTATAATTTTAATTGTTTTATAAGCTAGAATCTTGGAACTTGGACGACATGCATGGGTGAATTGAATTAAACATGTACTTGAATAAGAGCCCTAAATTCTCAAAATATTTCTATTGGTGAGGGAATTTTTTCCTAAGTAAAACTACATGTCAGTAATTTCGTCATTATCAGAAATGAGCAGTGTGAGAAATATACATTTAGTTATATTGATTTAGAAAATAATATAATTGCTTTCTCGAAAAATTGTCTTTTTCATGTTTGGTTGAAGGGAAATATGCCCATACTATAATTAACTTTCTGAAAAAATATTTCTAATAAAATTCAAAAAACAAGTAAAGTATATATGTAAATAGTTCAGAAATAAATAAAGAAACTACATCTTGGTACAGTGACATTTACAGTAAGAACAGAATAATCTCTATGTATCTAAATAAATAAATCTTGTGTATTTGAAAACATAATAATAATCACTAATATATAAAAGTAATATAGGTTGAAGTTGCTTTACTCAAATTTGAACGTGAAGGAATTCGATATGAGGTTTAAATTGGTTGAAGCTCGTGAAAATAAGTGAATAGAGAGACTGTGTCAAACGATAGATAACTTATGCTGCATCAATTTTGCTTTATGATAGTGAAGATATATATAGTGTTTCTCTTATGTGTTACTTTTTCAATAGTTATCAAATGTGCAACTTTTTATATTGATTAGTTAATAAATATGTATAAAAAGTTTAGATTATACATAAAATATTTTTCTTTAAGTGAACTTTTTATATAAGTTAACTCATATACTTTATACATATATATTAATTTAAAAATTGATATATAAAAAGTATTTTTTTAGTTGTATAAAAAGTTTTTTCTTGTGTTTAGCCTCTATTTTTCAAGAGAAAAATCACTTTTTCCTGCATTGATTTATCATGTTCCTCCCAAAAGACAAGGTCTTACTTACAGGCTCGTGTTCTTTAAATACTTCTTTTCTTGGGTCCATTTTCATGAATAAAGAAAAAGCATTGGATAAAGTTGTCAAATGAACGTGAAGCAGCAGATAAAGGAAGATAAAAGAGAAAATTTAACAATTTAACTTGTTCCTTTTTTTTATACTTATTGGATTAGACATTTTTAATAGGTGGTCCAATAACGGTCCGATACCATGTTAGAAGCTAACTCAATCCCACAAAACTGACTTGTAAGATAATATTTGCACTCAGTTATAAACTATGAATTGACATTATCGACTATACGAGACTTCCAACCGTGTCCTCAAAAGTTTTACTCTCAGTACAATTTTCTCCCTATTTCGTAACTTTTCATTCCTAAATCTGTTTTATGCCTAATAGTACCTTTTTTGCTGCTTATATGAAATTAATGTAAGAAGATTTTATCCCTTTGTTTATGTCCATAAATCTTAAAATATTATTGATTCTGGCTACCACCTTGCTCATCATACACATGGTCTAACTTTACGAGTTATAATTTTCTGAAACACTAGTGAAAATTAACGCAATTCATATATATATATATATATATATATATATATATATATATATATATATATATATATATAATTAAGTCATATGTGAGCATCGTTCATTCCAAATATGTATACTAATTACTTTATGTTTCTGTGTTATGGGAAGATTTGTTTTCTTTTTTGCTAATGTGAATATCAGGAATAAACTTTCAGAATTCTTTCTCTATACAGATAAGATATTTTTCATATGAATGTCGTGCTCCTTCTGCAAATTGCATAATGAATTTATTATACGTATGCATGGATTAATTACGTAAACCAGCCAATTCACCCATAAAAATCAGTCTTCATATATGCAATGCCAACTTGTATATACCTATATCCATTATTTCTCTCTCGAGAAAATGCATTTTATTTAAACTTCTCTGCTAACATTTTTTTTTTCTGTCTCTTCTTGTTTTGATCTTGTACAGTATGAATGACATAATTACCAAGTATAATACGCATTCCCCTGGCATGGACAAATTGGACAGGCCATCACTAGAAATGCAGGTTGTACAAAAAAATATGTTCTTATATTTTGCTTTTCTCTTTTTATTAGTTGCTATTGTGCAGAGACTTACACCACAAAACTTCTTGGAGAGCAAAGCATATATATTATGTAATTGATCTAATTATTCTTATATACTATGTTATTATTATTATTACTTCTACATTTGAAAGAGGTTCAAAATTATAGGCTGAAGTAACACTAATTGCTGATAAGTAACTGCACGAGTTTAATTGTTGATTTCAGCTAGAGACTGCCACCAAATTGAGTAAGGAAATTGCAGAGAGAACCCAAGAACTAAGGTATATATATATGAATTTTGTGAAAGAGAAAAAAGAGTTAAAAAAAGGAAAAAAGAAAACTTGAAGAATAACTGGATGAAGTAAAATACATTGTGTTTATGTTTTGAACGATTAGTTGGATGAAAGGCGATGATCTTCAAGGACTAAGCCTAAATGAGTTGCAGCAACTGGAGAAAAAACTTGAAAGTGGACTCGACCGTGTGATTGAGATAAAGGTAAGCACATAATGTCATTTGGTTAAGGTGCATGTTTTGATGAATGATTCATATATACCAACTCATCTCAACTTTTTCCTTCAGGAAAAGCAGATGATGGGTCAGATTTCTGAACTTCAGAAAAAGGTTTTTTTGATATAACTTGATGATGCATGTAGTTAGTATCTTCACTCAAATTGAAATTAATACACATATTAGTATAATTATCTGGTCCTCTTTAAGATAATCTTCCATAGTTCTTGCTGCATGAATATGAATATCAGTTAGTCCTTCCTTTTAGTGAATACCAAGAATTCGATAACTTGGTCATGTTATATTAGAATTCTCACATTAATTAGAGATAAAATCAATTTAGAGTATATAAATGAGTGCAAAATTTTATCTTACAAATTAATTTTGTAAAATTGAATTAGATTTAAAATTCATTTCTGAACCTGCTATAAGCATATAACTAGAAATTAGTGTTTTAATTCTATCATAATGTTCGTACTTAAGTTAATTTAGGACTAGATTTATCAAGGTTTTATAAAATTGAATTAGGTTTAAAATTTATTTCTTAATATGCTATAAACATATAATTAAAAATTAGTGTTTTAATTCTATCATAAGTTGATACTCAAGTAAATTTAGGGCTAGATTTTTCAAGGTTTAGTTAGTAACTTTCGAATTTTGAGGATTGTTTTGCTTTCTTTTCTGTCTGCTAAAGGGAATCGTGTTGGAAGAAGAGAATAAGCATTTAAAGAAAAAGGTGAGAACTCAATGACTCACTCAATTTCTTTTAATCTGTTTACATAAGAAAAACTCAAGATTATGAAATAATGCAACGCATCTGTATCCTGTATAAACAATGTTATAATTTCACTCTCATTTATGATAAACGTGCTAAAAACAAAACTGAAAAGATATATATAATAGGTAATATTGTCTTAAGTTTTTAATTTACAAGTAGATAAATAATTAAAGTTTTGAAAAGGGTACTACAGATGTTTTAGGTTAATTAATGTAATTACTTTCTTTTCCTATGTTTTTATTTTTTCTGAGATAAAATGTTACATTAATTAATCAGCTAGCGGAGACGGAGATGGAGGCTGTGCTGCGTAAAGCAACAATGCATTTTTTGATGGAGTCAAACATGGGAATGCAAGAAGAAGGTGTTTCATTAGAGTCTACAAACAACGTTAGCAGTTGCATCAGTGACCCTCCTCTTGAAGATGGTTCCTCGGACACATCTCTCAAGTTAGGGTAAGCAAAACCACCAAACACTAACAAGTATATATATTAAAGAAAAATGTTTTTTGACACCACGAAAGTATTTCAGTCATTAAAATAGTTCGTTTTTATATTTATAAAAAAAGAAAGAAATTGAAAGATAACATAATCAATGCAAAATATCTGTAAAAATTTATTGAGTGTGAAAATAATACTACTAAATTTGCAAATACCGTTACTTTGAACAAGTTCTTTGTTGTGTTTTTTTTCAGGTTACCCTTCTCTAACTGAAGATATGTAACATGGTGAATGAGCCATGTTCGGCTTCAAGTTTGTAAGAATTTCTCTTGAAATCTGTAACCACTTGTTTTTCTTGAATATTTCGCAAGTGAGAAATGTATGGTTAGCTATCAAAAATCAATGAAATATATATATATATTTTAATAATATATAAATTACGATATCTTTTTATCTGTATTAATTGGGCATGATGTGAATAGTATGGTTTTGTGGCTCTTGTGGAAGCAACCCAAAAGCATAATTGTTTGTATCCTTCGTGATGAGATGAAAAAAATGATTTTTGGAAAGTTATATATGAGTGAAGACTTCAACAAAAGACTCGTGTTGAATAGAGAAAATACTTCTATTATTAATGGTATAATTTACTGATTATGTTTCATAAAAATGGTCCCTCTTCATAACATCATTATTATAGTTTGTTCTCAATGAATTTAAATTTGAAATTCATAATTATTTTAGTGTAAAAACTCTTAAACTTAATTTCCAGAATTTACTCTAGAATAGAATGAACATATTATTTGGAACTCACGTTTCTTGGTTTTTTTAGCAGAATGAGAGGACAAAATCTTTCTCAATCTCATTCTTCATTCACATATGTATTCAATGGTAAGGAATTGAGATTAAATATATGTTATTATAGTGCAAAATCTAAAAATACCCATATTTGAATATTTCCATTTATCTAAAAACTCTGAGATATGAATAGAAACATTGTTTAACCTTATTTATTTTTTCAAACAATAACACTATGGTAATTAAATGAATATTGGACAAATAATGCTTATTTTATTTTATTCTTAAAATCATTTACAAATCCTTATAAAATTTTCTTTTATTTTTCTCCTCTTCTCTTTATTCTTTAATACAAACAATCTTATTTTACACTTTCTCTCTTCTTTTCTCTCATTTTTTTTTACTCCCTCACTTTCTTCATGCTAACAAAGACTTGATGTGTAGTTTGTCCACGTCCATATACTTGAGATCATTTATAAGGTGAGTTCTTCAAATGCAAAGCCATGAATATTTTCACAATAAATTAAAATATACTTTTTGAAAAAAATCATAAATACTTTTAAAATTTACAATATAAACTAGTTTATATATAAATTAATCTATAAATTAATACTGCCTCAATTAAATTTCTTATAATAATTTTTTTTAAATTACGTATAAATTAGTTTTAGTTTATGTAAAAATTATTCAAACTAGCGGTCTTTCTCACATTTTGCTTCATCGTGTATTTTGAACTGCATATGGTTGGACATACCTAAGCAATATGAGTATCTTTATCCTAATATTTTCAAATGAAAAAATTAAAATCACATTTTTACACAATAAATTTATCTGCTTAGCCTATTTAAAGTAATTATACGGTATTATTTCTCTATTTCTGTTTTTTAGTAGAAAACCTCTTTATATGTTTGTATAAACAAAATATATTTTCTGGGTTGTCAATACCAGTTTGTGTATATTTAATTATTTTTATCTATATATATATATATGTGTGTGTGTGACAGTAGTTTACAATACGTATAGCTGCTATTATAATTTACTTAATTATAAGTTTTGAACGTTTTCCTTAAGTTGACTATAAGTTTACGTGAATATTAAATATTTAAATAAAAACTACAAAATTTAAAGCATGCAAAAACATTAGGCCAATTGAGAAATGGAATAATTAAAATAAGATTATTTTGGAGTCACTATAGTGTTACTATGGGTTTATAGTTAACGGATCGGGTAAAGTAACGAATTGGATGAGAAGGACCGAGCGAATGTCGTGAAAACATCTCATGACCGTTCCGTTCCGACAACCATTGAGACAACATTGAGCAGAGTTAAGACGCAATTAATGTCACAATGTTGTTAAGTGATTAAGGTTTGCATTAATGATTATTAAGAGATAAATTAATTGGTCACCCTTACACCGATCGGTTACCAGAGCAAGGAGTGGAGAGACGTTCGGCACCCCGAACTTTCAGACAGACGATTATCCTATAGAAAAGGATAAAATTAATTTAGGCGTGACAGGAGGTGTTCCTAAATCTAAATTTCATTTTATAGTTTCTTGTGGTACTATGTTTTTGAAAATCATAATTCTCTTTAATGATTATGCTTAAATAATTTTGTTCTAAACAACTTTAAGAAAAGGTAAAATGAAAAGAGAAAATAAGTTTTTCAAAAATTAGAAGTAATCCATGTAAAAAAAGAAAACAAAACTGGTTGTAGGGTGAGATTTGCACCCACTTTATAAATTATAAATTGGATTTATCTTTAGTCGATGTGAGACTTTTAACACTAATAAATATATTTAATGTTATTTTATCATTATAAAAGTTATATAATGTTACAATTCTCATATGAACTAAAAATAAAATTGAATTATAAAGTATAAAATATAAGTACAATTTTTATATTATAAATCAATTTTATAAAATTAAATTATATTTAAAATTATTTTTTTAATATAATTCAGAATTATTTAGAGTTCATTTTCATTTTACAATTTCTTTTATAAAATTAAATTAAACTTAGAGTTCATTCTTTTAAGATCTAACAACAAATCATAAAATATTAAAACCTCCCATTTTATTCTCTTGAACTTTCCTTCTTTATGTAAAAGTGTTGACATAATGCATTCTCAGTATTAATCTACTTATAACATGTTTTTTCTCATCAAAGAATTATTTATTTAAGAAGAGACTCGTATCCAAATATTTTCTTTTCAAATATCATACTACACGTAATCTTTAATTACCGATTTCAATTTTAGAATAATATACCAGAGAGTGTCCAAATAAATTTGTTAAATTATAGGAAATTTGATGTGATTTAGAAGTATTTAGATAATTTCTTTTAATAAAAGTTTTTATGAATTTGTTTTTCGTTGGAGGATACAAAAAGGGCTGTGATTATTGAAGAATAGAACTTATTTTCAATATTCTTTGTATTTTTGTTTGAATAAAAAAAATTCAATTTTTTTATGAAAAACATAAAATTTCAATATTAAGTTCGTATTTATAATTTTCCACCAAATTATTGACAATTAAAAACGATTTTTTTTTTCATAATAACATGGGATATTAACATATTTTTATGTTTGGATGATTTCACTGTGAATAAGTTTCATAATTCTTTTTTACTCGTTTTAGTGAATATTGATTTGTCATGCGATGGATGTATCATTCAAATATGTCTCATTTATTTGAAAGTGTTGTTACGGATTGGTTAAATATCGAGTAGGATTTTTTAATCTACTTCCTTTACTTACTTTTTTTTTTTTTGAAATAATACAAAAATTTATACTTTTTTTACTATTTTACTCTTTGATTTATATCAAATAAATAAATATAAAAGTGTGTTATTGTGTATTCTTACTTATTTTAAACTGGTGAAACGAAGGTGTATAAATAAGAGGTGTGCATCTGTGATTTGTGGCAGTGAGGCAGCAATCCCTATCAAATTCAATCATAGAGGAAGTTACCGGTGTTTCGTCTGAAAATGAACGACGCAGATGTCTCTAGGCAAATCCAGCAGATGGTGCGGTTCATCCGCCAGGAAGCGGAGGAAAAAGCCAATGAGATCTCTGTCTCCGCCGAGGAGGTATCTATTCATTTGGCCGTGTTTTCTTCTCATTCGCTCTTCATTCATGCTCTTAAACCGATTCGTACTTTTCCTTCGGCAGGAATTCAATATCGAGAAGCTGCAGTTGGTTGAAGCCGAAAAGAAGAAGATCAGGCAAGAGTACGAACGCAAAGAGCGCCAAGTCGAAATTCGGAAGAAGATGTAACTTCGTAATACCTTTCTATACTCTTTTTTATGCGGTTTTTGTCTGAGTTTGAAATTCGCTAGGATTTGTCCTCCGTTGAGATTGCTTAAAATTAAATTCTGGAGACCGAGTTCTACTCGCATAGATCTTGATATTTGATTCTTACGGAATCGGATTCGGTGCAGTTATTTTGTCATGTAATCACTCATTCAGTGTATTTATTTATGATTGAAATACTGTGACAGAGTCTTTTAAGTAGTAGAAGATGATGTTTCGGATCTATATCGAACTGTTCCGAATTGCTGAATTCCCTAATGCATTCAAGTCAGATCAATCAACGATGAAAATCAGTAATTAATGTTAGAAAATATGACTGTAGGTTTAGTTTAGTCCTTTTTTGTTAATTTTCTTTGTTTGTGTTTGAATACTTCGGTTTGATGTTCAATTTCTTTCAAGTTGTTGACGTACTCAAGTATATTGCCAAAGTTTGACGGAGGGAATGGAGGATTTAGTTTCTGAGATGCTTTTTGTTCAGTTATGTGAAGTACAGAGCTGTGCGTTGTACTTCAAAGTGACAAAAACAGTGCTACTTGAGATGGTTTATGTTTTGAGACACAATTGATTGTTTGTTGCAGCGAGTATTCAATGCAGCTGAATGCTTCTCGAATTAAAGTTCTTCAAGCTCAAGATGACGTCATCAGTTCCATGAAAGAAGCTGCTTCCAAGGAACTTTTGAGTGCGAGTCATCATGATCATGTGTACAAAAACCTTCTGAAAGATCTCATTGTTCAGGTCCGTTAAATATTTTAATATGGTACGTCTACTTATGAATTGATAATTTGATTTTGCTGTTTTGCTAAGTGATATCAGATTATTCTTTCCATCTTTTTCTAGTAACAACTGTTTTTAATGATATTTACTTATTGTATTCTACTTTTGTATTATTTAAGATGATGGGCACAACATTTTATCTATAACTAGTAATTTTGCTGCAAATTGCTATTACCCAGTGCGCCATTGTATCAACATTGTTGATCGTTTTTGTGATAGGAACTTGGGTATTATGGGGGTGGGTGGAGTATTTAACTGTTTGGTTCTCCCCTTTGTGGTAGCTACTTTTATAGAGTTGGTTCCAAAGTGTTGGGTACTTATCAATTATTATGAGAGCTAGTTGTGTGTCTTGTAATGGGCATCTTCGTAGGATTCACGGGCTCACATCAGTATGGAAGTGGAGTGAAGTGTCACCATATGAAGTGTTAGAATGAAACCTGCCAAGATGTCGTCTCTTAGAGATGGTATTATGGTAAGAACTTGGGTATTATGGGGTGTCTAAGTCCCACATCAAGTAGTATCGGATCCTTAGTGGAGTATTTAAGTGATCGGTTCTCTCTCCTTTATTGTTAGAGCTTTTG